AACTTTCTATATTTTTTTTGGAAAGGCAAAAGCATGTTAAAGACTTAAGTGAGGAAGAGAAAACCAGTAACAGTAAGTATCCATCGGAGATTTTTTGACATTGACACATGAACACGGGAAATCCTCTATGAAAGTGGCCAAGACAAAAAAAATCGGTGGTATTGTAAGAAATCTGGGGGCAGATTCTACCCACCATCCGGACAGTAGGCGGTTTTCTAACAGCAAATTTCAGTTTCCTTTATTACCAGTCACCAAATAACAGTAATACAGCTTTTACGGCCCACAATATCGGATTAGGGTTTTGGTTGGAGCCAAAGAAAACCACTCAAGATTTTGTCAGCTTATGCCATGTTTGGTAGCAGAAAGGGAAAGGGACAACCCCACGCAGTGCCCTATTTCAGCCTTGAATGAGTAGGTTTCTTTTGCCTTTTCTAAGATGTATCATCATCACTCGTGTGATTGAGGATTTTAGCTGCATGTCCAAGTATATAATATAATAGCTCATGATTGTTAGATATATAATCTCTACGCTTTGCTTTGGTATGAGTAATTTAGCTTTGATTGGATTAAAGGGAAATTAATTTTGAGATATATGTGTAAATTAGTTTTAAAACACTTGTATTATTCATTAAACAAAAACAAAATTCTTTATTATATATGTGTAAATTAGTTTTAAAACACTTGTATTATTAATTAAACAAAAAAAATTCTTGATTGTCATGCAATTCTAGGCATATAATATTTTGATAATAATTTAATACTGTGAGTTGGATTGTCTATCAATTCAAGATTAAGTAATTAGGTAACTTTACACAATAACTGTTAGTGTCATTTTGTGTTACATTTGATAATATAAATTATGAAATAAAAGATAAAATTTTCTTTTTTTTCAAAATCTCCCATCATTTCTTGTAAAGTTTAAAGACTTTTTACATAAGATGTTAAATTTTTAACCGATGAAACATCTTAAAAAAAGACACCGATCATTTTTTTCTTGAATGACCTTGAAATGAACTATTGATTCAGAAGACTCGATTTCAAAATAGCCACACATTAATTGGCCTTTTATGTTTAAATCTTATTAATGCGATATATATAATAGTACATGGAATTTAATAATCATGAAACTTTAGACAATTAGACTAAATCCATGTCTCTCAGAAGCTAGATGATATCATTTGGGAGAAGAAATGAAGAGAAAAAGGATGATGGAAGAGGGAGACACTCAAAAGTGAAGTTTCTGATCATCACGAATACTCTTTTTCTTCGCAGGAAAACGAGGCTGGCCAGCTCCCACAAAAGACCACGATCATCAAAAGATGTGTCGGATCCATCTCTGCCACACAAATTAAATTGGAAACTCAAAGTATACGTATAAACTATAAACAAAAAATTAAAGACCACTAATTCAATTAAGTTTTTAAGATGCATGCATGCATGCATATTATATATATATATATGAAATTAATTCTTTTTAAACTAATATGGTTAGAGATTGAAGAATTAGATTGTTAAAATTTAAAAATTAAAATTTTAAATGTTATTATTTTTTTAAAAAACTTTTAGTCATTGTATTATAATAGTAGTTAGCATATATAATAACCATTTCAAAGGGAAGAAAAATGTGCTTTATTTTCAAGTTAATCTCATGTCTATATATTCATATATATGAGGTAACTGATTACGTATGATATCTTCAAATGAATTGTGGATTTGATTGTTTGTTTGTCACGATTTGGGGCAGTGATGAGGAAATAATAGCTTTTCGGATGGTGGTGGGAAAGGGGGGTATAGAAAAAAGAGGATTATCTTTTGCAATATAGTTATTGTACGATTTATTATATAGATATTTCGTCCGATTTAATTATCAAACAAGAAAAAGGGAAATAGTGGTGGAGGCAGCGGCTTATTTTGTACTTTTGCTGGCTTAACAAGCGGCAATGACAGATTCATTGTATGAAACATGTGTATTGTCCAACTATTGAGACATGTGTATACAATTCGTAAAAGCCAAGAAGAAAATAGAAAAACAAGACAAGAAACTTTGTCCATTAATTGCCGCAATGTAATTTCACTTTGATGAAGACGACATTATATCATCGAGGGGGTTGTAGGGATATATATGTGGTCCGGATTATATCAAATAATTATCTATTTGTTTTATATGTATTGTCATAAAAAATAAAAAATAAATAAAGATACTAGCTAGCTTGATAATGCTATGTTATGTTGTAACAACAAATTTTTTTTTTCTGTTATTTTTATTGTAAAATATATAAATATTAATTAAAATTATTAAAAATAAAATAATAATTATAATTAATTATATATGATAAATTTATATTTTTAGATTTGATGCTATTGAAAAAAATATTGTGTAACACACACACTCTGAAACAAAGGGTAAGATTTTGTGAATTAAGAGAATGTAGAAAAAATATATTATTGTTTGTGATTGTATTTATCTGTTCTGAATAAAAAAGAAAATGAAAAAGCAAAATGTAATTGTTTTGTGTTCCCTAATTGGGAAAGGAGGATTTGATCTATTCGTTGGAGATCAATTTTGGCTAATAAACTAGGTATGTACTCATCATACAAATAGATGATCGATGGCGGTGCCGACTTTAGATATTGAATTAGATTATGAAAACGATAAGTTGGTTTTCATTGGTAGTTAGTTTTTTTGTTTTTTTTTTGTTACATCTGATAACGAATTATACAAAAAAAAAGTAATTTTTACTCACTCTATAAAATTTGATTATGAGACTTCCAATGACATAGAAGGTCAAATTTATAATTCTAAGATATTATCTAGAAGACATATAGTTTCTTTGTCCGATACAAAAAATATTAATTAAAAGATTTTTTTTTTCCAGAATAGTGTCACTACTGATCACCACCCTATTTGACTGGGAACCTGGGAGACAAATTTACCTAATAGTTGCTTAACTTGTCCATGTTAAATGCAAGATAAAAGCAATCGTTTTTCATCTTTTTGTTTGTTTTTTCGTTTGTTTGTTTGTTTGTGTGCGTGTGTGTGT